GCGTCGTCGCGCGCGCATGCCGAAATCCTTCAGAAACCTCCGGTCTCGGGAGGATTTCAAAATCGTGTGTCCAAAAAACCTACAAAAACACAAGGTTTCGCAACACGGATGTTCAACAAAAGCGTGCGCGCGCTTTTGCGTCGTCGTCGTCGTCGCCATCCTCCCTCCTCCCTCGTCGTCTTCGTCGCTGTCGTCGTCCTCTGTCTTTCCTCGTCGTCGTCGTCGTCGTCTTGGCGTCGTCGTCGTTTCCGTCGTCGTTGTCGCCGTGGTCGTCCTTCCTCCCTCGTCGACTTCGTCGGCGTTTCGTTGTTGTCCCTCCTATTTCGTCGCCGTCGTCGTCGTCGTCGTCTTCCCTCCTCCCTCGTCGTTGCCGTCGTCGCCGTCGTCGTCCTTCCTCCTCCCTCGTCGTCGTCGTCGTCTACGTTGTCGTCGTCTTCGTCGTCGTCGTCTTCGTCGTCGCCGTCGTTGTCGTCGTCGTCGTCGTTGTCGTCGTCGGCGTCGTCGTCGTCGGCGTTGTCATCGTCGTCGTCGTCTTCGTCAGCGTCGGCGTCGTCGCTGTCGTCGTCGTCGTCGGTGTTGTCTTCGTCGTCGTTGCCGTCGTCGTCGAAGTTGTTGGAGACGTCGTCGGTGTCGTCGTAGTCGCTGTCGGCGGCGTCGTCGTCGTCGTTGTCGCTGTCGTCGTCGGCGTCGGTGTCGCTGCCAAGTGCAATTTGGTACCCACCGTCACGGTCTTAAGAGGTCTTGCGATCAAGTTGCGCGTGGGAGGGTGGGGTGTTTGCACGAGCAGTGGAGAGGACAGCTTCAAGTTGAGCAAGTGATTGATTGCGCCAAATATATTTCACCGCGTAGACTCCCTTTCAACCACGATATGAATGTCTACTACCCCACCCCCCCTGTGGAGGGATAGTTTTCTATTCAACGATCCTCCGTGTCATGCTTTGACCCAGCGAATCCACATTCTAATTCGATTGACGCCCTCTGAACCTGGGGTATTCTCCAGCCCTGCTGGCCTGCCATGCTCCCTCTCCAGATCAACTTCAAATATTTTGTATGTGGGGCCTCTCTCTCTTCTTATGAAACATGTATGAAAGTCCAGTTGGGCCCCTGTTCCAAATCAATAGGAAATCCTCTGAAACTGGGGTCTGCTTCATCCCTATCGAGATCGTATTGGGTCCCAAGTCATGTCCAAATGGTACCATCTGAAACGAAGCATTGCCTAATTTCGACTGAGTTATTGTTGATGACCCGTGTAAATTCATTGGCAATCTTCTGACCCAGGGGCCTGCTCCATTACCCTTGTGCACAAGTCATTCCAATGCGATAAACAGCTTTTTGAGTCTTTGCTCATTCCTATTGAACCCCGACTGGATGCTCAGTCGACTCCGATCAGAATCCTTCCATTATTGGGCCTGCTCCAATCCTATTTGGTTATAGCTGGCTCGTTTGCAACTCGCATGGACACGTTCTGAATTTAAGGGACGCGCAATTCCAACTGACTTGCACTGTGGATGCGGCTCGCAGTCAACCGTATCATGCTGAACATTAGGTCTGCTACTCCACGATCTTTTTCGTAGCAGTCCTACTTTCTAGGTTCATCCTTTTCTCCGTCAGATTTTCCTGCTTGGCGTCCTTCCATCACGGCCACTGCCATCGCTGATACGACTTTCACCACCCACAACCGAACATTACGATTACGATTGCGAATTGTTCAGCTGACACCACTGTCGTGAGCTCCTCGGAGGTCCAGTGGAGAGCTGGGTTACCCATGTCCACATGGACCTCGCGCCCGTGTGTCCTGATATCTGCACAACTGTCGCTACTTGCGTGAGCTCATGACGCGTCCACAAGGGGAACGGCTTTATCGAGATTGTGAGACCTCGCCTCCTTGGGTACTGGCAAGTGCGCAACTGTCGTCATCCCAGCGAGGTCTAGCTAGGAAGTCCAGCGGGATTCGGCCTTACCCATACCCAAATGGGTCCTCGCATCCCTGGGCGCTGCCAACTCCGTAAGAATCACCTTGTTTGCTAGTTGTTGGAAGCTCCACCGGAGTGACGGCTTACCATAATTCTCATGGGGCCTTGCCTCCACTGGCGCTGCCAGCTGGTCAGCTGACTCCATTGTCGTGACAAGTTGCCGGGCAACTGTTCTTGACTTTAGCCCAGCTGTCGTCTTCCCGACCCACAAGAAGAACACCCATATGGTCTGACACCATTTCCTTTGTTTGGACTCCCGGCGGTCTTTCCGCGGGACACGGTCTAGGCGGCGTGACACAATTTCTTTAGTTTTGGCCCAGCGGTCGTGCTTCGGAACTGCGGGAGCACCATCCAGGTAATCTGAGGACGTACCCTCGATCTCGGCCTGGTGATTGTCCTTCTGGCCCGAAGGACCAGCCTCAAGGTGGCCGCAGCATGTTTGGTGGTCTTGGCCCAGCGGTCGTCCTTCGGAGCCGCGGGAGCACCATGTCATATCCACCGCTGCACGGCCGAGAGACGGGGCCACCAGCGTGCGTGCCAGCGCGCTGACGTGCGTCTCGCGGGGGCGCGCTCGGGCGCGATCTTTCAGTGCCTGCACTGAGCGGCGCCGTTTCAGGCCTCGGCTACCAGCCTCAAGCCAGATCCAATGCTGCGTGGACAATGTGACGGAAATGTCATTCGTCGTCGGCGGTCACACGTCGTGTCTGCTCCCCCTCCACGCCGTCGTGGGCCTCCTTGTGATGATGTTCGACCTTGCCCATGCGGCCCACGCGGTTCTTTTCTTTATTTGGCGCCCTGTCTATTTCTCCTCGCAGTCTGGTTTCTGTATCTCTCCTCGGTGGTATTTCATTGTATGCCCGCCTCATACAGACCGCATGGGGCGTGGAATGACAGGCTCCCAGCGTAGATCTCCCAAGTATAAGCATACCCGTTCACATGATCATTCTTGTATGGGCCCGTTGGTACCTGCGCGCGTTGTAGATGGGTTGGGGAAGTCCATGAGTCATTGTGGCTTCTGTGCTCCAATCATACTGCATGTACTCTAGAACGTTCCAGGGCCAGAGGATGAGTCTGAGGAACAAGCAGAGATGGGGATGACGATGAGAGGAAAGAGTAGAGACAGGGCGATAGAGTTGGAGGGGGAGAAGGAGGACGGAGGGACGAGGGAGGTTGAAGGATGAGCCTCTGTTCCGTTCCTTCTTCCCTCCTCGAGTTTCCCCCCCCTATTCCTTCGGTCTCCCCTCTGTAGCCATTTGGGCGCAGACTCTCAGGCTGGCTCGTCAGCTTCCTGGCCGCTCGTGCGCTTCATTGGCACAGAGCATCGGTCAGGATGTTGGAGCTTCCGCTGGACCCGTGGGGCCTGCTCTCTGGAGGCAGGTGCCAAGGGGGGCAGGCCCTGGCTTTTGCTACCGTTTGTGTTACAGAGGAGGAGCGCGGGACGGAATTCTTGGCGAATTGCCTTGCCAGCATATGCGCTTTGCTGGCGACCACGGACCCCGAGTGCGTGGTCGCCATCGTGAGCAGTTGGGTTTATCATGCCGCTCGACACGTGCTGCTCCGCAACGGCGTGCTGCCCCTGGTGGCGCCCACATGGTTGCCTCACCATGTTGGTCACCCCTTCGAGCACATACATTGGAAACCGCATTTCTCTGCGAAGTTGGAGGCGTTCAGGCTTACGGGCCACGACCGAGTCGTTTGGTTCGACCCGGACGTGCTCTTCATGCGGAATGCTTCGGGCTTGCTTGGCGTTCCAGGGGAGTTCGCCGCTTCCACGAGCCCTAAAGGCAAGGACCCCGCTCGGTACGTTAACGACGGTGTAATGGTGTTCACTCCGTCGATAGGGCTGTACAACGAGCTCATCACTCGCTGGCGTGATGGGAGCCACTCGCTGCACTACTCCGAGGACGAGGTCAGCGATAACGACCTCGTCATGGAGGTGTGCGTGCTCGAGGGGAAGTGCGGGGCGGTGTCTGACCTGGACGCCTGCCTGTACAACCACGGCGTTTGGCTGCCGCTGCGCTACTGGAGGCCCTGCCCGAGCAGGGCCGCCGTGGCTCGCCACAACTTCCTCGCCACGCGGGAGCCGATCCTGACTGGCGTGCTCCACGCCGCGGCACTGCGCGGGACCTGCCGGGCGCGTGCGGTGCCCGACCCCGCGGCCGAGGGCTGCTGGGAGGGGGCCGACGAGCACGGGCCGTTCACGGCGGAGAGGTGCTGCCGCGATGCCGCCCGGGGGGGCGACCTGCAGTGCTGGGGGCACGGCAAGGGCTTCGAGAGCTGCTGCCGCGGGGCGCGGGACGCCGAGCACCTGCAGGCGGAGCTGCGGGCGGTGGGCCAGTCGTGGTATGCTGGCGGCGCGCACAGGAGGGGCATGGCGAGGAGGGCTCGGCCTCCGGGAGGTTCGCCCGTGAGGCGTTGTGTGTCGTGAGACCTCCCTGGGCCTCGCAGGGGACCCTCGCGGCCACGGCTGGACGCAGCTCGAAAAGCCAGCCAGGACGGACCCCGCGAGAGGGCGGGAGGGCCTCCACGAAGCCCGCGCTGCTTCCGTGCACGGCCCCGCGCCCTGGCCGACCCGCCCCTGCGCGTCGCCAGGCGTGGCCTCTCCTCGCAGCCAGACAGGCCCCGGCCTGGGCACCTGGGCGCGCGGTGCTGGCGGCAGTACCACCGCATGCGCCACACGCTCTTCAGCCTGGGCGCGGTGGCCTCCGGCACGCAGGCCTTCAGCGCGCCCGAGGCGGCGTGGCGCCCGTGGGGGGAGGCGTGGGGAGCGCAGAGCCCTCCGGGAGCAGTGCTGTTGGGAGGGATCAAGTGCATCAGCTTCGGCGATCCGCGAGCCGTGGCCCGCCCCACCAGATTCGTGGTCTTTCGCTTCCGCTTCGACGCCTACTTCGGCCGGCACCGGGCCGACTCGAAGGTGGCGGCCATCTGGCGGGGTTACTCGGAGGACGCCCGCTTGCGCGACAGGCTGTCGGCCATGGCCGCCTGCGTGCCACAGGAATGTTGCTTCCTTCAGCCGGAGGGCTCTAACGCGAGTGCAGCTGATGGGCTGCGCTCTGTTCTCTTCCGTTTCGTGTTTGATTTTTTGTTCAGCAAGTTCGGCATGGATTTGGGAGCGGTCTTGCCGGAGCCTGCCGAGTCTGATTTCAACGGGATATTCACCATGAACCCACAGGATCCTTCCGAGGCTTGGCAGAAGTGCTTCAGAGATTGAGCCTCGATACTTGTCACTCGTCCAAGTGTAACTTCCGTGCCACATTCTCGCCGCTGCGAGCATCGACAACGCAGTAATCTGGATTGACGAAGAACCAGGTCGAAAAAAGTATTTTGGAAGTGCGCAACGGAAGCTCAGCCTTGCATGACTCATGGTCTGCAAGCGTCTTCGTCGAGCCCGTGTAGTCTACCAAATGACCCAAGGCTCCCATGAGGTCGTTCCAAGAACGACCTCGTTCTCATGGAACTGCCACCTCGCTGTCGGCGGAGGTTGGAGGAGGTTCCGCGGAAGCCAGTCGGAATGAAGCGAACGCTGCTCTGCTGGCGGGGGGCTGACGAAAGGCTGATGGAAGCCGGCGGGATCAAATGCAGCCACTCCATGATGATTCGACGCTATTGTACCTCGAGATTTCCAGATCCGGCCACGTGGACGGCATGGTCGCAGCGGGTGGTATCGCCTCCAGTCGCGTCACAGCTGCCTAATTTCGCATCTTCTCGAGAAGCAGCCCGAGCCGCCAGGATCTGCATCGAAGAAGGTTTCCGGTCATATTTGCGTGCGGCAGTCAATTCGCAACCACATGCCGTGAAAGGCTGCGGGCTCGTCATCCCAGATCTATCCCCCTCGCACTTACAACCACCGTTTTCTGTTTTCCCTTTTTGACTTCTCCCTTGCCTCACTTTCCCTTCCTTCTCCCTTCTATTCCGCATCCCGTCCCCATCATCCCTGCTTTCTTTCCTATATGTTCCTTCCCCCCCCCCCCCTTCCCTTCCCTGCGTTCCACTCTCCCATCCCCTTTCTCCCCCCCCGTTCCCCCCTCCGCCCCGTGCCTTGCCCTTCGCTTGATCTTTGAGGAGAAGGAGGAGGTTGAGGAGGAGGAGGAGGTGGAGCACCCGTGTACTGGGTGCGTTGAGAGAAGAGAGGAGGAGGAGGGGGAGGATGTGGAGGACAAGGAGGAGGAGAAGGAGGAGGAGGAGGAGGTTGAGGAGGAGGAGGAGGAGGAGGAGGAGGTGGAGCGTCTTCTTCGCTCGCTGCCTTCGTGCGGCGGGGGAGTGGAGGGCCACGCCGAGCAGGGCTCGCGTGCAGGGGCAGGGCGCGGGGATGGCGGGCGGGTGCCTGCCCCGTGAAAGGGCCGCGGATGGCACCGCGGGCCTGCCCCAGAAGGTGCGAGGAGAGAGAGAGGGAGAGAGAGAGAGAGAGAGAGAAAAAAAAAAACGCAAGAGAAAGGGAAAAGGAAAGGGATATATATAGAGAGAGAGAGAGAGAGACAAAACAACAACACTTATATCAACGACACCACCACCACCACCACCACCACCACCACCACCACCACCACCAACACCACCACCAACAACAACAACAACAACCGCGAACACAACATCAAAGGCAGCAGCAACAGCAGCAGCAACAACAATACCCCAACAACAACCACAACAACAACAGCAACAGCAACAATAACCACACCACTACCAAGAGCACCAACAACACCGGCACCAATACCAGCAACAACAACATCCGCAACAACAGCAGCAGCAGCAACACCAGCCCTCATCATGTTGAGACTGTTCGCTCTTACCCGCCCGTGTGCCATTCAACACGTGCATCCCAAGCCCTCGATACCCGCCCGCTTCGTCTTCGATCTTACCCCCTCGGGGGTACATATCTTTCTTACCAGCAACGTGTAGTTCGTGCAGCCCCTAGGAGAAAAAAGGACCAATGGAAGAAAGGGACAAGAAGGAGGGAGGAGGGTGGAGCACGAGAGAGAGAGAGAGAGAGTTGCAGGAGGGGGGCTAGGAGCATAAGAAATGTGGCAGAACCAGACGGGCAGATCGGGCGGGTAGACCCTACCCAGCGGGTCGGGAAGGAGGGGCGAGGCGGCCAGGTCGAGCAGGCGGGTTGCTCAAGCGTGCGTCCTGCATGGATCGCGAGGAAGTCTCGAGCGATAGCGCGATTTCCAAATAAATCATTTGTCGGGCCAAAGCGAGAGCGCGATTCCTGAGTGTCGAGGGCGCGGCGTCGGAATACATTGCGAGAAAGTCCCACGCAAGAGCGCGATTTCTGTATACATTGTCAGGAAGTCCCGCGCGATAGCGCGATTTGGGAATTCATCGTGAGGAAGTATAAGGCGGGAACCGTTGAACTCTCACGACTGAAGAATAAGTATTGTTGATCCCCCCTCCAGTGACCATCGTGTTTTTTCAATTGAAGTGCTTCCCCCGGGGCTCGCACCTTTTTTATTAGGGAAAGTCACGAGGGTCAAACTACGTGTTGGCACCCGAACTTCAGCAACAACGGCTCCCGCCTGATACTTCCCAACACTGTATTCCCAAATCGCGCTCTCGCCCGACATTTCCTCACAATGTATTCAGGAATCGCGCTCTCGCGTGGGACTTCCTCGCAATGTACTTAGACGCCGCGCCCTCGACATTCAGGAGTGACGTTCTAGCTGTGGATTTCCTCGCGATTGATTTGGAAATCGAGCTGCCTCTCGAGACTTCCCCGCGTTTCATGCAGGACGCACGCTTGAGCAACCCGTCTGCTCGACCTGGCCGCCTCGCCCCTCCTTCCCGACCCGCCTGGCAGGGTCTACCCGCCCGATCTGCCCGTCTGGTTGTGCCACGTGTTTTCTGCTTACGAGCCAATGTGTTCCCCCCCCTGAGCTGGTCGCCCCCTCACTGGCAGTGTTTGCCTGAGCTGGTCCCCCCCTGAGCTGGTCCCCCCCTGAGCTGGTCCCCCCCTGAGCTGGTCGCCCCCGTCGTTACCCCTCACTGGCAGTGTTTGCCCGGGCCCGCCATCGCAGGGCCAGGCGCACCGGCCCCGGTGGTAGCAGGAGCGTTCCCGGGGGCTCTCGGCGGGCCCGCGGCAGTGCAGAGCGTGGCACACGCGGCACTGACGCGCGCGAGGAGCGCGAGCTGCAGCTCCTGTTCCTTGGCTGCCCAGGCACGCCCGCGTTGAAACGCCACGCGTGCCGTGCTCAAAACGTCCGTGGTGTGCTGGTGCACGCTGTGGGATGGCTCGTCGCGTGCTGGCCCGCGCTTTGGCGAACCTATCGCGCCGAACCTGCGTTTGCAGTCTGCGTGTTGAGGTCCGTGTCGGCACGCTACGTGTTGCCAGTTGCGTCTCGTCTCGGGGCAGCTCGCTCCTGTTCTTGCTGGGCGAGGTCCCGCAGGGACCGATGTGAGCTCCGAGGACTGCAATTTTCGGCGGCAAGCGAGGGGGCGAAGGAAGAAGGAGAAGGCCTTCTCACCAGTTTCGGAAGTCCCCCGGCCTTCTGAGACGTTTTCTGAGCTTCCCCCCGAGGACGGAACAACACTTCCCGGGAGGCGTGAGGGCTTCTGAGAAGTCCCGCCGCCTTCCGAGAAGGCCTTCTCCCCCTCCCTTCCCCACGCTCGCTCGCCGCCGCAGCACGGTCTCGCACCGTCGTGCCCGCGTGGGCGGCGCGTGGGCGGTCGGCCGCCGAGAGAAGCCGCGAGGCCGCGCGCAGGGGGGCGCTCGCGGCGCAGAGGGCGACCTTTTTCTCCGCGGCCGCCGCGGGTGGAGCGCGCCTGGCGCCCCGGGAAGAGCCGATCCACTGGCCACGGCTCGCGGCTCGATGTCGGGCGGCCACGGGCACGGATCCAGGGGGGCGTGGCTTAGCGACGAGTCCCGCTCCCATGGGAGATCAAAAGGATTTCCGCAGCCAAACAAGGCGGCACCGGCCGCACTTCGGGGATCGCTGATCCATGTTTGCGCCCCACCGACCATGGCACGGGGCTCAAGGGACGGGGCTCAAGGGACGGGGGTCGATTCGGGCGGGGCCAGGAGGAGGATATATCTTCGTTCCAGAGCGTTCCAGAACGCTTTCAGGGCGTGCCGGGACGCTCTGAGAAGTCCGCGGCGCCCGATACATTCTCCATAACCGCCAGATCTAAGAGATTATTTTCGATTTATCCGTACCCGATCCTATCCTCGCCTCAGGTTCGTCTTATCAATGCAAACGAGGATCAGTGAGAGCGCGTGATCTTGCAGGATCCTGCCGTGCCAGAGGTGCATTGAACTGGGCTTGGGGATGCAGGATTCTGCATGATCCTTGTTAGGATCTTGCAGGATCCTGCAGGGTCCTGACTGGCCCAGATCTGGATTGATCCGGGTCAGTAGACCCCCGAATTGCGTTGCGGCCACGTTGGCGGCAGAGCCAAGAGAAAGAGAGAGCCACAGAGAGGGGGAAGGATCACTGACCGAGCTTCCAGGTCTATGAGTGGGCGGACCGCCATTATACAGTCCTTCGATGTTGAAGGGTCGGTCTATGTGGACACGCCGTTTGCACAGGGACAGAAACAAATCGCAGCTTCAATCGAAGACGCCTGCGGCGAATCACGACCGCCCCCTGCCTTCTGGGATAAACGTGTGTGGCCAAACGTTTGGGCAGAGTTTGACCACGCTATCGGACCATGCGTTCCCCCAGTCTTTGTGGAAGCCTTTCGGGGAACACGTGGGGGAGGAAGAGGATGAGGACAGGGAGGGAACAGGAGGATGAGGAGAAAGATGAGGAGACCTGTTTGGAGCTTCTTGGGTCATTCTTGGGGCCTCGAGGGAGCTCCCGGGGGCCTCTTTGAGCCTTCTTGGGAGCCTCCTTGGGCTTCTTGGGGCCTTTGGGGGCTTCTTGGGGGCCATTGTGGCCGTCTTACGGCGGCGTTCCTGGCCTGGCTGACGCCGTCGGAAGCCATCTTGGGAGCCTCTTTGGGCGGTCTTGGGGCCCTCTTGGGGCGCTTCAGGGTCGTCGTGGCAGCTATCTTGGATGTTTCGGAGGCCTCTTGGGTCGTCTGGGGAGCCTCTTGCG